AGCCTATTCCAACCCCTTGGTGTAGATGATTGATTCACCTGACCCAAGCCAAACCAATGAGACTTAAACTGGATATTTTGCAGGGTTGGAAGAAGGAGACTTTTTTCTGTTGTGGCTTTTTGGATGTAAGCTTGGAGCATCTTGGGCCAGGATAAAGAGTGAGATGGCCAGAGAATGAAGCCACACAGAACAGAGTCAAGAAACAGGAGGAGACCAACTCTTGTCAATATCATATGAGCACCTGGATCCAGCCACGCCTGTAGCACACCAAGATGCTATAAGCTCCATGAAGGCAGAGACCTCTTCTGTCTTGTTCACTGTGCCACCCCAGCACCACGCATAGTGTCTGGCACATTGTAGGTACTCAGCAAATAGCCGCTGAATGGACGACAGGATGAATACGGCCTGTCCGCCAGTGAAAAGAAAGGAGCCAAAGTTTGCCAAGAAATGGAGGCACAGAGAAAGGATCAAGATACACCATTCCACCATGATCCAACAAGAGTGTGGTGGCTTTATTAAGGACACACCCTCTCCCTGTGCCTTCTCATTTGAGCCTCACAACACCCCAGTGAATAAACAGAGAGTGATTCTCACCTCCTCTATTTAAAAAGAAAAAAGTAACTAGAACATCAGACCCGTGATTTGGTGGATACCATTGATTAGAATGAGGTAATATTGACTTAAAGGAAAATGAACATGATATTCACTGAGGGGTCTGTGGACCTGGGAGCTGTCACTGCAGCCACCCTCCACAGCAACTATGGTGTGACAAACACTGACTCTCCCGATTCTTCACTTCACGTTCTGGAAACTGGAAGTCCAGAGAGAGGCAGGACCTACCTGTGGACAGTCAGTGCTGCGACTGGACCCCAGGGATCCTGCCCATCCAGCAGAAGCTAAATCATGACAGTCTGTGTCCCATGCAGGGCTGGGAGCCTGGCTCCTTAGCAGAGATGCCAGGGCCACAGTGAAGCAATAGCTGTCAAAGTCTTGATCATGGTAGTGGCAATGGGTCCCTACATCTTTCCAGGACCTTGAGGTCTTCCCCATGACCTCCTCTGGCCCACAGTCTGACATTCAGCAAGCCCCACAAGGGGTCCAAGGTCTGGACACATGGGTGTGGGTGGACACTTTACAGCCCACCAAGAACAACTCCAGCTACAGCTGATGTGGTGGCTGTGAATGTGGCTGTCGCAGTGCCTTTAGGTTCCCCACATTTCAGCTCAGGGGCCTCCAGCACAGATTTGTGACTATAGCTACATTTTCCCAAAGGGGCCCTGGGATGCCCTTGAGATACCCAGGGAGAAAAGGTCTCACAGCTGCGCTGGGGCGACAGTGCCACATGCTCCACCCCCTTGGAGAGCTACAACAGACATTATCCTATTTGAGGCAGTTACAAGTCCAGCAGCAAACAAACCAATTGTGCAATCATTTCCCAAACTTACTTTATCATGTAAACATGCTCACACCTGATGCCATTGTCTCTTTGGAAAATGCTGGTCCAGCCCCTTCAGCTCAGGGTCCTCTGAGATCTTGCAAGGGCACAGGGGTCCCTGCTGTCTTCCCCCAGCCCTGCCCTGCCCTATCCACTGCCATTGCTGAAACCTTCCTTTCCCCATGGTGACTCACGAGTCCCTTCTTAGGGATTAATGCACCCCCTCTTTCCCTCCCTCCTTTCCTTCCACAAGCATTCATTGAGCACCTTTGATGTACCAAGCACAGAGTGGGTATCCGGGATGCAGGAGTGGGTGGGTATGAGGCAGCCCCTGCTCTCCAGCAGCTGACAGGAACTGCTTCCTTCATCATGCACGGCTGTACCCCTGGCAACTGCCACAGTGCCTGCTCCTAATACACGTAAAATCAGTCTTTGTTGAATCCCCAGGCTCAGCTTGATAAATCCTTGATGGTTTTGACAATCTCACTCCAATTGGGCTAATAAGGCCTGATGCAGGTCCCCTCAACCCATCAATATCAGAGAACTCATTAAAATGCATACTCCTATAGGCTACTCTACTCCTGGGAGACTCAATCCTAGATGTGGGTGGGGCTCATACATTTATATTTTAAAAGCTTCTCCGTGGGGAGCCCTGTTCTGGGGTTTGGGAGCGACTGGTCACCAGCAGGGATCTTGATAGCAGTCCAGTGCCGTGGGCAGGCTCAGCCTTACAGGTCAGGGCAGATGCAGGCAGAGGGGCCGGGAAGACTCAGCTCCCAGGCCACCTGGCCAAAAGAGCAGCCACCGAGACTCACTGAGCACCTGCTACATGTCACGGGCTTCACAAGATGCCTTCCTTACAGGGTCTCCCACAAAACTCACAATGACCTCGAAAGTATCAGAACCCCACTTTGTAGGTGAGAAAACCAAGACCCAGGAGTCACCCCTTTTGCCCAGGGTCACCCATCACATCAGCACAGAGCTGGGATTGAGACCGGGTCTGCATGATTCCAAATCCCACTAGGCTCTTGGTCCCTCAGGACATAGGCAGGAGACCTCAGCAGCCCGGCAGCTGGTATCATCCCCATCTTATAGGTGCATTGTCCAAGGCCCAGGGAAGCAGAACACTCAGTGTGGTGTGGCAGCCACAGCACCTGGCTTCACCAACTCACAACTACTGCCTTCCACTAGGAGAAAAGTCAAGTAAAGGATTTTGATGGGAATTGGG